TAACTTGATGTTTCCAGATGAAGAAACTGAGGCTTGCAAAGGCTAAGAAACTGGCCCAAGTTATCCAGCTAAAAAGTATAAAGCTAGAAGGAGGGCGCTGGTCTCTGAATAACTGTATATCCTCTTAATCAGAACACATGCTTGTTAAAGCAACTGCTTCTAAAGGTATACAAAGTTTCTGGCCGGGAAACTGCAAAGAAACTGCAAAGTGGACATCAAGACCAGTTCACATTCTGAGATGGGCACACTTCAAAATTACAATTTCATGTTGCTAAATGATAACCTCTCTTCAGGGGAAGAAGAATGCCTCTATTTCTAACATAAACAACTTTAGTTTAAAAGTTTCTCATTTCCCTGGAATTCCTTAAAAAGTTTCTTTATGAACTCTACGTCTGTCATCCATATTATTCAATCCTTTTCAAACTACTTTTGAGGTAACTATGTTTGAGCTAGGCTCTAGTGGCTCACACCCATAATCCTAGCTACTCAGAGGTGGAGACCTGAAGACTGCAGTTTGAAGCAAGCCCAAGTATGAAAGTCTATGACACTACTATGTCCAATTATTAACCACCAGAAAACCTGAAGTGGAGCTATGGTTCCAAGGTGCAGTGTGCTAGCCTTGAGCAACAAAGCTCAGGGACAGCATCTGGGACCTAAATTTAAGCCCATGACTGAGAAAACAAACAATGTTTGGGCACATACATTTTATCATAGTATTAATTCTATGTTATGAAAAGTTAATGAATGTGGTAGAATTTGGCTATGGCCCGCAATGCCTATCTATTTACCAGAGCTGCTTGTAGCTAAGTACAATTTGCAATTGCAACTAGGAAATTCTGCACTTCATTTGATTACATTTTTTCTCCTCATATTCTCTTTTACTCATTGAGAATCAAATGAGCAAAGAATTCAACTACACAAAATGTACAGGATGTTTACATCAAAATCTTCTCTGCCCCTTGTGTCTGAAGGGACTGAGAAAAGAAATCAGTTGGAAAGGGAGTTGGTGACTCATGCCTGTAATCTTAGCTACTCAGGAAGCTGAGATCTGAGGATTGAAGCCAGCCCAGGCAAGAAAATCCATGATACTACAGTAATCACCAATTAATCACCAAAAAGCCAGTGGTGAAAAGCTTTGGGACAGGGCCCATGCCTGAGTTTAACCTCCAGGACTGGAGCACATGTTACACACACAGAAACACACACACAGACACACACACAGACACACACGCACACACACACACACAGACACACACACACACACACACACCCCAAACACACACACACACACACACACACACACCCCAAACACAAGAAAACTACCTTCATAATATACATTAGAAATTTTAAGGGAAGACTGAAATTATTTTAGTGGACTCTAGCCCCTGTAAAATTCAACATCTAATATTAGATATTTTTGCCTTTCCACAAACAATACTATTTAAATTTAATCTTTATTTTACTTAAAACATTCTGACATACAAAAGACAAAATGAGAATTACAGAATAGTCAATGAAGAAAAGTCAGGGACAGAAAACATTGAGAATGAAGATTCAGACAGTACAGTTAAAATTCAGGAAGGAGATTAAAATACAAAGTTATAAAAGATAAGAAACATTAAAACTGTAACTTTGTAAGAGTGAAAAATATTTTATATAAAACTAGGCATATTTTAAAGTATAATTTTTCCTAAACATTTTCTATTCAAGTAACAAAATGAGAGAATAACAAATTCAGAATGAAAAGAATTTAAGTATTATTATCAATTATTCACTTAACTGTACAAATGAGGAAATTGAGTTCCAAAAAGTAACTCTGCCTGGCCTATAAGCAAAAGTTTTACACACTCCCAGATTGTTAATTTCCATTTCATTAGATATAATGCCATCTGCCTAGAGAGTAACTAAAAGAGATCACATTATTAAGATCGAAACTTCAAATACAGCTGTCACTGTAGATTTTAATAAAAAGGACACAAAAGCTAAAAGAAAAAAACTATTTCTTTAAAATGTAAATTATTTAGTTTTAAATCAGTATTTTTTTATAAAATTACTTTATATAATGGGTAAACTATAGTCAAAGACTGAAAAATACATGCTAATCTATTGATTTACAAAAAAAAATCAAGCTGGGCACTGGTAGCTTATGCCTGTAGTCACAGCTACTGAGGAGGATGAGATCTGAGGATTGCAGTTTGAAGCTAGTCAGGGCAGAGAAGTCCATAAGATGTCTATGTCCAATTAACTATCAAAAAGCTGAAAATGGAGCTGTGGCTCAATTGAATACTAGCTTTGAGCAAAAATGCTCAGGTCAGTGCCCTGCCCAGGCTCTAAATCCAAGCTCTAGGACTGGCAGTGGGGGAAACAATCAACCAGGCACTGGTGGCTCACAGCTAGAATCCTAGCTACATGAGAGGCTATGATTGAGAGGACTGAAATTCCATGCCAGCTGGGCAGAGACCACCTCACTACAATAGGTCTAAAATAGACTGCAGTCCAGGAACCCGCCAAGTAGAAAATAAGTCACTATCTCAAAAATAGCCAGTGCAAAACAGGGCTGGAAGTATGCCCTGTGTTCAAATCCCAAAATCAGAAAATCAGAAGTTTTGGTAGTTCTTAAGGATCTGTACTCTTTTTTTTTTTTTGAGACAATATCTTATTAACTATGTGCTCTCGGCTAGCTTCAAATTCAATTCTCCAACTTCAGCCTCCAAAGTGCTGGGCTTATAGGTGAGCACTACCACAGATGGTTTGACACATACTAGTTTTAAATGAACTGCCCTGTGTAAACAAATATAATGTTCAGGGTATACGTCTAGTTTCTAAATTTGCCTTTAACAATAAATATTATTTACAATGTAATATATGTTAATTAGGTATTTATATATTTTATTATACATTTATAAAAATATATTTTATTCTAAATTTATTATGTTGTTATTTATTAATTATATTGATGCAGTCTTTTAATATTTTATAGTTATACACTTATAATTTGGTAGTTTAAGAGGCATCAGATTTTACCAGTGCCTCCTGCTGTCTTTGACTCCCTAACACAAATGACATCAATTTTTTTCCACCAAATGTAAAATACCATCATACAAAATTAACTTAATAAAATATGAGTGCATATTGTGCATACAGCATTCAAGTAATTTGGCTTGCAATAATCTGGAGAAATTTAAAGTCTGTTATTTCAATTCCAAATAATGTGGCAATACATTATTCCAGAATGTTTTGGAAACTGGAGGCCCATTCTCTAAAAGTTGTTTTGATCGCACTGGCATTTTGGACCTCTGCTCTTTCCATTTTCCCTCTGAGTTAGTAACTGAATTTTGTTGATATGTTCTATGTTTGCCATATTTCATAGATCCTTTCATTTTTCTCTTTATTTTTGACTCTTCTTCATCACTCTGCCTTTCCTGCTTTTCATTCTCTTTTTTACATATCTCCTGGAATTTCCCTTCTTCTTCCTCATTGTCTACCTCTTCTTTCTCCTCTTCTCCATTCCTCCCATTTTCTTCCCCTTCCCTCCTTTCCTTTTCCTCTCCTTCCTCTTCTTCCTCATCTCCTTCTTCATCCTCTTCTTCTTCCTCTCCTTCCCCCTCCTCACCTTCCTCCTTTCCCCATTCTCCTTCTTCCTCTCCTTCCCTCAATCCTTCCTCTTCTTCTCCTTCCTCCTCTTCCTCTCCTTCCTCTTCTTCTTCCTCCCCTTCTTCTTCCTCTCCTTCCTCTTCTTCCTCGTCTTCCTTTTCCTCATCTCCTTCTCCCTCTTCTTCCTCCTCTTCCCCTTTTCCTTCCTCCTTTTCATCTCTTTCATCTTTCCTCTCTCCTTCCTCTTCTTCTTCCTCTTCTGCACTTTCTTCTCCTTCCTCCTCATCTTCTCCCTCTCCTTGCTCCTCCCCTTCCTCCTCCTCCTCTCCCCACTCTCCTTGCTCTTCTTCCATTTCTTCCTCTCCTTGCTCATCCCCTTCTCCCCCTTCTAGCTCTTGCTTTCTTTCCTCCTGGTTGCCTTTGTCCCTCCCCTTTTCCTCTCCTTCTTCCTCATTGCTTTTCTCCCATTTCTCCTCTTTTAGGTTCTTCTGTTCCTTACTCAAGAACTGCATTTCTTGTCCTCCTTTCTCCTCCTCCTCTTCTTCATCCTCCTCCTCCTCCTCTTCCTCTTCTTCCTCATCCTCCTCCCTTTGCCACTGTTCCACATTTGAAATACCCTTCTCACAGATTTGGTCCCTTGTACCTTCAGGCCCAACTACTATCTCTCCCACTGGCTCTCCCTCGCCTTCACTCACCTCTGCTCTGACTGTAAGGTCATCTGATAAGGTTTGTGCTTTCTTCTTTTGTCTTCCTGGCACCTCAAATTTTTTCTTATATGTTTCTATTACTTGCTTCTCTATTTCATTTTCTTCTGAATCATTTGCTTCTTCCTGCTCCTCTGGTATCTTTGACAAATGCTCACGAATAAAATCATATTTTCCCATGAATCTGGACTTTCTGGAACCATTACCATTTCCTTGTTTAAGAAATGTTCTGCGGAACCACAAGCTGTGCTCACTTTCCACTTCATCGTCTTTCTCTTCACTACTAAAGTGTACTGACTTGGAATGCAAGAATATGTTAGGTTTGCCTTGCTGACTCTGGCTTTTATATTCCGTGTAACTTTTTGGCTCTTCTATGAAATATGTTTCACTGCCAGTGATCATTTGTCCAATCCTATTTTCCTTAACATAACCTTTATGTTCTTCATACACAGAATTTGCATCTTTATCTGTTATGTCATCAAAAAAATTATCATAATGTAAAAATTTCACTTTCTTTTCCCTTTTGCTTAGATTTTTCACACTTGCCATTTTCTTCAGCCCAGTGCTCTTCTTAAAAATTACTTCTTCATCACTTTCTTTTTCTAGTTCCTTAGCATCAAGGTGATCAATACCATTGTTATTTTTGTGTCTAAACATCATTTTTTGTAAACCCTTTCCATTGATGTCAGCCCGATGCCTCACCTGCTGTGTGCCACTACTTCCTTCTTCCTCATCTGAAAATGCTTCCAAGGTTTCAGCTACTTGAACCACAGAGACACCTGTTGACACCTGTTGTTCACATGTTTTATCTTCTTTTGTTTTTGACATCTCTTCAAATTCATATTCATTATTATCATCATTTTCAGTACAGGTTGTAAGCTGGCTCAGTTTCTCAACTGGGTCTTGGCTCTGTAAATTTTTAAAGCAATCATCATTCTACTATTAGTTAACAAAAGTAACAAATTACTGCTAAGATTTAACCTACTTATAAGTTTATAAGGAGAATTAAAATGTCCAATTTATTAGGCATTTTAGTGAGGATTTGTTTTCTTTCTTTTTGACGGCTGTCCCTCAGCTCTTCAGCTCAAGGCTAGCACTCTACCATCTGAGCTACAGTGCCACTTCCGGCTTTTTCTGCTTATGTGGTGCTGAGGAATTGAATCCAGAGCCTCATGCATGCAAGGCAAGCACTCTACCACTGAGCCACCTTCCCAGCCCCGGATTTGTTTTCTTTAGGGATAATTTATGCCATGCTATAGGCATGTCTAATTTTAAGAACACATATCTGTGTTTGTGTGACTTTCAATTCTTATTACCTGCCTTAGTTTTTCCATCTATCATATTTATTCTCTACATTTTTTCCCAATCTCAATCTTTAGATATGATTCATTTTCAGACTGATCTTGTAAGATGCTGTAAACATTTTTACACTACTCTGGCATATGTTTGCCATCATCTCTATCATTTTTAATTTTCAAATTTTGATGTCTTTTGAGCTCATGAAATTTACAAAATTAAAGAAAATAAATAAAAATGTGAAAATGATAAATATTGAAAAATGAATAGGTTATTTCTATAAGAGAAAGTTTGAAATGGAAACTACTCATGAAACCATTTTTATCTACATAGTAAATAATGATGAACGTACTTTTTTTTTGTCAGTTGTGGGGCTTGAACTCTGGGCCTGGGCACTGTCCCTAAGCTCTTCAGCTCAAGGATAGTGCTCTACCACTTGAGCCACACACCATTTCCTCCCTCCCCCCCCCATATAATTTTCACCAGATGATCTACACATGGGTGGTATGTGTGTGTGCGTCTGTGTGCATGCCCGCGCGCCTGTGTGTCTGTGTATGTGGTTCCAAATAAACAGAAAAAGCAGGAAATGGAGCCATGGCTCAAGTGGTTGGGCACTACGTTTGAGCAAAAGAAGCTTAGGCCCGAATTCAAGCTCCAGGACTGGCAAAAAAAAAAAGAAAAAAGAAAAAGAAAGAATAATTCTCTAATGAACAAAATAGGAAAATGTCAAATTGTTGACCTATTCTATAAGCTAATAGATTCAATATCTGATAAACTATGGTCTCAAGGTGGAAAATTAAAATAAATTTTACAAGTTGAGATATATTATGGAAAGGGTTCATTATTTTTTACCAAAGAAATGATTAAAATAGGACAAGTTACAAATTAAGCTAACAGCTTGTTCAGCCAATCCTTTTTAGTTTTCACTCATTAAAATATACCTGGCAGGGCTGGGAAGGTGGCTCAGTGGTAGAGCACTTGCCTTGCATGCATGAGGCCCTGGGTTTGATTCCCCAGCACCACATAAGCAAAAAGGAAAAAAGCCGGAAGTGGCACTGTGGCTCAAGTGGTAGAGTGCTAGCCTTGAGCTGAAGAGCTGAGGGACAGCGCCCAGGCCCAGAGTTCAGGCCCACGACCAGACCCCCCCAAAAAAAAAACAATAAAATATACCTGGCAGAGACTAAACATAAAAGCAACATGTGAAGTTAGAAATATCGTTCAGCTTAAAAGGAAAGATTTTTCTTTTTCATTTGTTCTAGGCCTGTCCTTTAAGAAGCAGTGAATAAAACTTGTTAGTCCTTTCCAGAGCCCTAAGACATACAAGCCTAAACATCAGAACTGATTTCCAAATGGATATGTATTTCTTTCCCTAGCATATAATAAAGCATCTCAAAAGAGGCCAAGCCCAGAGTCTAACAGAAGAGGATGGAAAGACACAGAAAAAATGGCTGCTTGAAGTACAGACAATAAAGTGGTCAACATTTACTGTGTTTACATAACTGGGTGAGGAGAAAAGCTCATCTATAGTCAGAAATGCTGTTATTCACATGCCTCTCACTAATACAGATAAGAATAGTGAGGACTCATTCCAAATTTTTATGATTTAGCAAGATTGTTTTGCATTTCAGTGGATTTGGCTTTAATGATTTTTTAAGTGCCAAAGGCATTAGAATCAGAAATTAAATATTTTATATAGCCTTCTTACTTTAATTAACATTTTTTGTTTTATTTTCCTAAAGTGCAAACTCATCCTTCTCCATGTCTGTGGAAACCACAGACTGTGTTTTCCTCTAGCTATTCCTTACTCATTAAAAGTCTCTCTTGGGACTGGGAAGTTGGCTCAATGGTAGAGTGCTTGCCTCACTTGCATGCATGAGGCCCTGGGTTCAATTCCTCAGCACTACATAAGCAGAAAAAAGCCAGAAGTGGTGCTGTGGCTCAAGTGGTAGGGCATTAGCCTTGAGCTGAAGAGCTGAGGGACAGTGCCCAGGCCAAGAGTTCAGTCCCCACAACCGACAAAAAAACAAAACAACAACAAAAAGTCTCTCTTTCTCACCTATGAACAGTCTCTGCCTCATTTCCAAATGTTTTTGTCATGCCTTTTATGCTGTCCAGTCCTTAAAATCAAAGCCCAAATAAATACTGGAAAAATTATTATCTGGTATTTTCTCTAAGATTGCCAAATTTTAAAGTTAAAAGTTAATATCATGTAGAAACTCAGCATAGTAACTCCCTCAAAGTCATACTCAATTATAATCAGTCACTTTGATAAACAATAGCCATAAGCACTATAATTATAATCTATTCCTTGACAGAAAGCATAATTTGTAAGCCTGTGCCAGTGGCTCATGCCCATAATTCTAGTTACTCAGTAGAAGGCTGTAATCCAGAAGATTATGGTTCAAAGCCAGCCCAGGTAGAAAGCCTACAAGACGTTATTCCTAAGCAGCAAAAAGCCAAGCTAGAGCATGCTCAAGTGGCAGAGTCTGAGCCCAGCAAGCAAGGTGAGCAAGCACAAGGTCCTGAGTTCAAACTCCAGCATAAAAAAAATTATAGTAACTTAAGGAAGTAACCACAGAGAGCAAATTCAAGCAATAAAACTATCACAGAATGGAAGTGGCGCTGTAGCTCAAGTGGTAAAGTGCTCGCCTTGAGCTGAAGAGCTGAGGGACAGCGCCCAGGCCCAGAGTTCAAGCCCCACGGCCGACCAAAAAAAAAATCTATCACAGAAAATACATACCAATAAACAAGCCAAATGAAGGACATCCATATTGTATTCCTCCACTTCTTTAATTTTAAAATAAGTGATTATCTTTCTTGTGTCCTTCCCAGAAACTTTGCAAAGAAAAAACATTAATACTGTTCTTAACCACCATGAAAATAATAACTTTCCAAATTATACCTTGTGTTTTTGAATTGGAGAAAATACTGGTGACTTCTCACTGGAACTCAGGTTCACCACATGTGTCTGAAATAAAAGAAAAATAGTTCTAAAAAGAATGAAGACTATATATGATTATGTATATATACTTATAATTCCAAATCTGTTTCTGCATGCACTCGCGTGTACATACACACACATACACACACAGTGCATATGGCAAATACAATCCAGCCAGGCACCAGTGGTACACATATCTGTAATCCTAGCTACTCAAGAGTTTGAGATCTGAGGATCGTGGTTCGAAGCCAGTCTGGGCAGGAAAATCCATGAGACTCTTGTCTCCAATAAATTAATCAGAAAAAGCCAGAAGTGGTACTGTGGCTCAAGTGGTAGAGCACCAGCCTTGAGCACAGAGAGGCTCAGGGAGAGCGCCTGGGCCCACAGTTAAAGCCCCAGGACTGGCAAAAAAAAATCTATTCTCAATTCCCATATAAATGATGTGAGGGTAGAAATTAATTTTATTCTTTGTAACTTGTACCTCAATAAAGATGATTAAAAAGGAACAGAATTGAAATAGAAGATGGTGATTTAGAGGTACTGGGCCTGCTTCTGCATGAATTAGAATAAAAACAATAGGATTTTAGGTGCTTATTGATGTAAACAACTATGTTGGAACTATGTTTGCTGAGTGTGGGTGCAGACTTGTAGAAATCTCGGGGAGTGTGTAAGAGAAGGAAAACTATGACAACTTGACAAGGAGAGAGGGAACACCCTCTAGTCAGGAGAATAGGTAAAAAAGAAAGAGTGTAATAAGCTGTACCAGCTCAGGATCTGACATGCAGAATATCTGGAAATCTTGGCATGAGTTGACTGGCTTTTAAGACAAATAGTCTAGACAGAGAAAAGATCTGGAATCTACAGAACAACCTGTTTCTGAAGAACTTTTTCATTGTGTCCAGCATATTCTGAGCCATCTTGAAAAGCATGTTATTGCCTGAGCTCACTGCTGTGGGGGTCAAGAATCATACATTTTCTTATCTCTAAATCTCAAGGCAGTATCACTGTACTACTCTAGCAGGCAGGTAGCTACCTGGAGAGTCAGCTTAATTTGGAAGAGATTCTGATACAATTTCCCTGAGAATTCTAGGTAGTAGGAATTCGGTGCAGAGAGGAGAGGTTGTTGCTTCCTTTCAAAATCAGAGGTTTGGGGAAACAGCTGTTTACAACCTCAGGAAAGTGAACATCTGTGTGTGAGTTCACATGGGAGCCATGTTTGGAGGTATCACAATTATGGGAAGTGGATGGCCCCATCACCCCATTTCTAGTACAGTTCTTTTGTAATTTCATTGCTATTCACTGCCCCTGGAGACAGTCAGAAATATGCCACAGAACCAGTGTCTCATCACAAAAAAAACCTCTGGAGAGAATCTTTACCTGAGAATCAGTGCTTTCTCTACCAACTGCTTTCAATGAGCAGCTGAGAAGATTCTAACTAGCTTCATCTACAAATCACCCATGCTAATCATCAGGCAAGCACCACTGCCACTTTAGGAATAATGGCAGATGGTGTACCCTACTTGCACTGCTGGTTGTACACCACCAGCCTGAACTACCTAGGGACCCAACTTTTGTGAGACTTACAGAAAGTTCATACCTCAGTCTATGGCACAATATACATTGGGTCACAACCAATTAATAATGGCCAAAGAATAGGAAGATTACACTATAAAGTCCAATTAAAACTAAACTCAATGCATAACTGATACCTCAGGACACATTATAGGAGAATGTTGCTTACTAAGAAAGCCCTCATATAAAAGTTAAAGCAATATTCATCTCTGCAAATCACAATATAGACATTAAAAAAGAAAAACTCTAGCAAGATGACCACCTCCAAAAAATTGTAATTCTAAGATTCCCAAAGATATCAAAGTGTATGAAATACTGCAAAAAAATAAAAGAATAATTAAAAATTCAACTAATCTGGGGCTGGGAAGGTGGCTCAGTGGTAGAGTGCTTGCCTTGCATGCATGAGGCCCTGGGTTCAATTCCTCAGTACCACATAAGCAGAAAAAAGCCAGAAGTGGTGCTGTGGCTCAAGTGGTAGAGCGCTAGCCTTGAGCTAAAGAGCTGAGGGAACAGTGCCCAGACCGAGGGTTCAAGCCCCACGACTGACCAAAAAAAAAAAAAATTCAATGAATCTGAGAGAATACAAATAAATACTTGAACAAGTTAAGGAAGACAATACAGGATACAAATGAGCATTTTAATAGATTCTGAAAAAGAGCTAAACAAATACACTGTAAACAAGAAACTCAGCAATTCAGATTTTAAAACTCAGTCTAGAACCTCAACAACAAATTAGATTAAGGAAAAGAAAATACTGGGTTTTTTTTTGTTTTTTGTCAGTCGTGGGACTTGAACTCTGGGCCTGGGTGCTGTCCCTCAGCTCTTCAGCTCAAGGCTAGCACTCTACCACTTGAGCCACAGCGCCACTTCTGGCTTTTTCTGCTTATGTGGTGCTGATGAATCAAACCCAGGGCTTCATGCATGCAAGGCAAGCACTCTACAACTGAGCCAACTTCCCAGCCCAAAAGATAGAATATTAAAGTTTACAGGCCTGTACTCCTATCTACTCAGGAGGCTGAGATCTGAGGATCATGTTTCAGAGCTAGACCATGCAGGAAAGTCCGTGAGACTTTTGTCTCCATTGAACCACGAGAAAAGCAGAAATGACACTGTGGCTCAAAGTGGTAGAGCTTTAGCCTTGAGCAAAAATTAAAAAAAAAAAAAACACCTCAGGAACAGTGACCAGTCTATGAGTTCAAGCCCCACAACTGACAAAAAAAGACACCTCTACCAAGATATTACATGCAGACGGCAATTTAAATAAACAAGAAGAATGAATAGAATATCCAGATCACTTGACACCACAAAATATCAAATATCCACATACTTGGCGTACCAGAGGCAGAAGCACTATATGCTGAGGGCAGAATACGCTCAGTTAGATAACAGGAAATATCCCAACCATGGATATCCAAGTATAGGAGGCATTTAAAACCCCAAATAGACAAGACTAGAAAAGAACCTCTCCATGGTACAACTAAATTGCCAAAGTACAGGACAAAGAAAAAAATATCAAAAACTACAAGAAAGAAAGACATACAGCTGACATTTAATTGTAAACTCATAAAGCAACAGATTCAGGGGCTGGGAATGTGGCTTAGTGGTAAAGTGCTTGTCTAGCATACATGAAGTCCTGGTTTCAATTCTTCAGTACCACATAAACATAAAAAGCTGGAAGTGGCACTGTGATTCAACTAGCAGAGTGCTAGCCTTGAGCAAAAGAAGCTCAGGGACAGTGCCCAGGCCCTGAATTCAAGCCCAAGGACTGGCAAAAAATAACAAAAAAACACCAGATTTCTCAGCAGAAACTCTAAAGACCAAAAAAGTATGAAATGAAAGAAAGGTTAACTTCTGGCTAAAATTACTATGCCTAATATGAATGAGTTTGAAAGGGGTTCTGTCCTTTCAGTTTTATGGATAATTTTAGAAATTATAGGTGATCTTCTCTAAATCTGGTAAGCTAGGCATGGTTGAGTATGTCTGTAAGCTATACATCTAAAGCCAACTGATTCTTTTTTTGATGGACAGTGAGCTTTGTTTTTATTTTTTTATTGTAAAGATACTGTACAAAGGGGTTACAGTTGAATGAGTACACTTCCTATCGAGCGTTGTTACCCCTCCTTTGTTTTTCCCTACCATTCCTTCCTTCCCCACCTCCCTAACTTCTCCTCCGACCCGCCTCAACCCCGCCAAAGCTGTAAAGTTCATTTTCAACATAGTGTCTTCTACATCTCATTGTTACAATGTTCAACCTGTATCCTTATTTCAGCATTTTGTTATTTCCCCTCCACTCCCCAAATTAGAAAAATGTATATAAAAGATGTAGGGCACCAGAATCAAATACAGTGAAACCCGTGGTTATACCATGGGGGAAGAACATACAAAAGAAACAACAAAAATAAATCACACAGCAACATCGTGAAAATGGCAATACTTCCCAAGGCTATCTACAAATTCAATGCGATACCTATCAATATTCCAACCTCATACTTCAAGGAAATAGAAGAGGCAATCCAAAAATTCATACGGAACAATAAAAGACCCCGAATAGCAAAAATGATTCTTAACAGAAAGAACGGTGCTGGAGAAATATCAATACCAAATTTCAAACTCTACTGCAAAGCCACTGTAATTAAAACAGCTTGGTACTGGCACAATAACAGACCTCAGGACCAATGGAATAGAATTGAAAACCCAGAACCTACAGACCTACAGCCATCTAATCTTCGATAAGGGAGCTAAAAAAATAGAATGGAAGAAAGACAGCCTCTTCAGTAAATGGTGCTGGCAAAATTGGTTAACTACTTGTAGGAAACTAAAGCTAGGGGCTGGGAAGGTGGCTCAGTGGTAGAGTGCTTGCCTTGCATGCATGAGGCCCTGAGTTCCATTCCTCAGCACCACATAAGGAGAAAAAAGCCATAAGTGGCACTGTGGCTCAAGTGGTAGAGTGCTAGCTTTAAGCTGAAGGGCTAAGGGACAGCGTCCAGGCCCAGAGTTCAGGCTCCACGATCGGACCAAAAAACAAAAAAACAAAAATAAAAAAACTAAAGCTAGATCCTTATATATCACCCTGCACCAGAATCAACTCCAAATGGATCAAAGACCTCGGAGTTAAAACACACACTCTGAAAACATTACAGGATAGAATAGGAGAAACCCTAGGTCTCATTGGCACAGGCTGAAATTGTCTTAATAGAGACCCAGGAACACAACAAATCAAAGAAAGGTTGGACAAATGGGATTGCATGAAATTGCAGAGCTTCTGCATGGCAAAGGACATAGCTAGCAAGAACAATAGAAAGCCC